TAGATAGAGATAGATAGATAGATAGGTTGGTTGGTTGATTGGTTGGTTGGTTGGTTGGTTGGTAACTTACCCCAACTACTGAAGCATCAGGATGCTCATAACGAGTGGAACTGAAGATCAGTTAGCATGGCCCATCCAAAAGCGTTGAGTTTGCCCCCGTTGTAGAGGAGGAAAACAGGGAACAGTTCCTCACATGGCGTGTTTTCATTCACGTCGTACCAATAGTGCATTCCTAATTGTTGGATGAGAAAGAGACATTTAAATAACGTCAGCTTAATCAGGAACATGCGTGGTAACTCATAGACTAATAATATACGGTGTCTATCACGTAAGTTTACTTCTGTATTCCCACATAATCTTTTAGATCTCAAAATTATACATTACTCTTTCAAAGCTTTCAGCGTGAATTTTAATTTGAAATTAAACCATGGGTCTCCAAAACGTATTTAATTTGCCAAACCGCACTATAGTAGGCCCGTATTTCTTTGCAGTACAATACATTTGTTTATTCTGTGGAACCCCTGACTCTTGAATCGATATAAATAATTTGGCTATATTGATACTGCTTTTCAGTACCTCTTTAACTATTCTGCTTAACACTCTCAAATGTGATTTATCCCTTACCTTGAACCAGTTCCATACAATACTTTTGGTCAAATATATTTCTATAGGCCTATTTCACTAATTAACATGGTGGTTCTGGAGGGAGGAATCCGCCCTTCCATTCCAGAGCTGTTCCAGGAAGTTCGCCCCGAGTTCTACAACAGACTTGTAAAAGTTTTATTGCGTATCCTCGCATTCCTTCAGAGAACCAGTTTTCTTCTGGTGAAGGAGCATCTGCATCATTAAAGACACACTTCAAAGACAAATAAATCTTAGGACGACCCTCCAGGCCATTGCTGTTCGGATCGTCATGAACAGACCAATCACGATCCGTTCCGTTCGCCAATTACCTCCAAAACGACCCGATCTGTCTATCAATACGCTATGTTTTCATCTTCTGTCAGACACCTGTCTTGCTTGTTGTGGAATGCTGTTGCCTTTTGCAGTACTTTTTTTCTTAGATGATCTTTTCATCTAAGATGTGAATAACTTTTGTAGGCAGCAATGATGACTGCCTTAGTGCACGAAGAAAGCACCAATGCACACTGCTCTGTTGTAAAGAAATACACCATTGAACTTGTGTATGTGTGTACGTGTGTGGATAAAAGTAAACTTCGACCGCCACCAGGGCAAAATTCAAAATTCAGTCCATCCAAACTGAAAATGTTTAATGTGACCCGACCGCTCATATGACCGTATGCAGTTGCGAGCGCCGTAAAACACTTACCAAAACTAAAGCAAAAGTCCTGGGCCGTGCGCCCAACCAATACGACCTTCACTTGAGACAGTCTGGTTTGTTCGCTGTTCCTGAGATCTCCGATCCGTCAAGATTTTACTTATTTGACCAAGATCAAGGAGTGGGGGATAGTGTGGTTGGGAGGGGGGGGGTGTGATGGAAGTCAGTGAATCACGACATGGGAGGATGTGTTGGTGCAACAGTGCGAGCGTCAAGTTCTATTTTATATATTGAGGAAATTAGCACACAGTGAGAGAGTTATGGCTTCGTTTAATTGTGAAGCATGGTGATGTTGATCACTTGCCCCCCCCCACCCTCCCCTATTTTCTCAACCTTATAGTTTCAAGTGTTCTTGTAGGTGTCTTTCTCCTTCCAGTTTCGTTCACCTAGGTGCTTTCACTCAAGTTGCATGTCATCACATATTCAACCCCATACGTCACTC